GGAATTTATTTTCGGTGGCCACGCCCACCGAAAAATATTGCTTCTTAGATTCCCGAATACACATTAACCGTGACAGCATAAGCATAAGCCTAGCCTAATTTTTTTTGTTTCGAAGTTTTCGAATGGGGGGGGGCGCGTTGGATACGCCACTGAGTGGGTGTGGTCAGGCATCGCTCAAAAATCTCTCGAAAGTGGTCCATGGGCAACGCCCTGAAAACTAAGCTTAATTAATTGAATCCAGAGTTTACTAATGTATAAGTTTCTCCCGACGAATTGTGTTTTTCTCTCCAATAAGAGGTTGGGGGAGGATGCTCTCCCAATGGGGGCCCTATCCCCACCACCCCTGTATAATTTTAATTGACAGCTGAAACTTAATTATATAATAAGCAATCAAAATGTCACCAGGAGTATATCTTTAACAGTACTGTATACTCAATGATAACTGTATATTCTGTCTTTGGTGGTGTTCTATTATGTTCTTTATGTTCTATTATGACACAATTTTTCTATAGAATTGAAGATGCTATAGATCTTGTGTGTCTATTTCACTTGCTTCATCCGGACTGTTCATCTGGGAAAGAAGTGAAGGAGAAAAAGTTGACTGGGATCGACATAATAAAGGTGGGCTTACATCTCAAGATTTACTTCATTACAACTGTGGCATGGTGGTAAAGTGCCTGTCCTCAAACCCAGGATTCTGGGTTCAAATCCTCAATACTAATAATATGTTAGACTTACATGGTGCTTCATGCCATAAGGATTTGTTGTGCTTCATATTATTACCACCGGTCATTGAATCAAACACATATGGAACACGTAGATTCCTGGGGAGAATTCCGTGTTGCAGCACATACGAAACACATATTTATTATAAAATATTATTTATTCAGGATAATAAACTGTACATTTCATAAGGAATATTTGTACAGTATATTGGGTTGTTTTTTTTTGTTTTTTTTTTTCAAAACATTGTCCAAAATTGACAAAAAATTTGAAATATATGACAGTGTTTAATGTGAATTCATGATCACTGTTATTAATAGTGATTTTCTTTTGTAGGCCTACCTACGCCTGGATACACCTCACCCAGGAAAAGTGGAGCTAGCCCTACAGGCATATGAGAATGAACTCCAAGAGCAAAAGGCAACTGAACAGAAGGAAAACAACTGAAAATTTCAAATTAAAATAAATTTAGTTAAAATCTTTCTGTTGGTGTTTCAGTTCAGTATCACACAACTGTCCTTGAAGACAAGTCTGCTGCCCTCTCTTGCCTTCACTGGCAACTAGTTGAGGGCAGTAGTATTCAGGCTTTCCAACTGAAATGTTACATCAAGCAATTTTTTGTTCAAAATGATTTTCAATCAACTGGTACTCTAGTGCACTAAGCTGGAAACCATTCCTCAAGCCTAGTTTACATAAAATCGCTACACTCTATCACCGACAGCTTTCAGCAATGCTGATTGGTCAGTCAAATAAGGGACAGGCTGACGTTGATGATGAATCAGAGTTTATTAAAAATACTACTAAAAGTTGAGGTGTTTTTCTAGTAAATTAAATAAAAAAAATTAAAATATGAAGTAATGCATTGTCTTTTACTAACATCATGCCGTCATCCATCCCACAAATTCACGTC